GAAAATAGTATATCTTATAACATTTTTTTTTGGACTGTTAATTTTCAAGATTTTCAAATTTTCATAGATGGGCTTTATCTATACTATTTTTGAAGCTTTAAATTTTACAATTAAAGATAAAAATAAATATATTTTAAGGCTATCACAAAGATTTCCAGTATTGAAACCACGTTTCTTGATACTATTTGAAGGTGTGTTTTATTTTGATTGTTTAGAGCCTCGGCTCTATACAAACTGCACCTTTTATATATATATTCGGTCCTACCATCTCTCCATCACCATCCAATTCATTGATCGGCCTTGAAAATCTCAAGGTTAAAAAAAAACGGTTAGGTGACCCTGATTGCATATTTGGACTTACCATCAAATTCAACAGATCTGGATTGCCAATTGGGTCTCTTGAACCGGTAGCTAAAAAATTTTAAAAAATAAAATAAATAAAAGTGGGTCTACGGCTATAAATTCAATTCGGCAAATCGGTGATTTGGATCGGCAATTGGGGGTTCTGAACCGGTAGCTAAAAAGTAAAAATAAAAAATAAAAAAGTGGGGCTGCTGCTGAATATTTTTTCTTGGTAAAGTACAATATTGAGAAAACTTTGAACTCGCAAAAAATTGAAGAAAAATATTATTTCCTATAGCATCCAAAGATACTGTGAAGGATTAAGTGTTGAATAAGATTACTTTTTTCTTTGGGAGCAATTAAGGGGTGGGACGAATGAGCATAAAGTGCAGAGGAAAAAGGCAACAACTTTGGCATTATTAGAAAAAGAGAGGGAGGGTAAGTTTCCACATTTTTAGTGGGCAGTCAGCATACCACCCTTCAACATATTTGAGGTACATTTGGGGTGGTCAAATGTTTTTTTTGTTTATTCTCATTCCAAAAATATAACTTGATGCTCATATATTTTGTATATTTTGACTCTCTCTCTCTCTCTCACACACACAATAATATTTTTAGGTGAAAATAAATGCCGCATTATCTCTCATTTATATGGTCTAGGCCAACCCCCCTCCGCCCACTCTCTCACCCATAAATTTCGATGCATATTCTTTTAATTTTAGAATAACATCTCTCCTACTTTTATAATCTCCTATTTACTTTTTATTCCAAATCAGTGTGGAAGACTCGGGCCAGCCAACTATACCTAAAAGAAGGGTTTTTCAAAGTTGTTCATACAATGCTATGCCCAAATCTACACAAAACGACAACAAATCCACATTGATTAGGCTAACTAAGTCTGGAACTGAACATCCAATCCCCCAGCATTAAAATTTTATTTAAAGCGCCATTATTAACTAAATTAATGTTTTTTGTTTTCTCCAAACTCCGAGGTTACACTCTTACCTGCTCCAATTAGATTGATGTCTGTTGACCATGATATTTCTCTTTAATTTATAGATTTATATGTCTAAAGATAGTTTTGTTAGTTATACTAATACTATCATAATTTTTGTTGACCTAAATTACCTTTGAAATACTAATACTATCATAATTTTTGTTTACCTAAATTGCCTTTGATTCAAGTTAAAATTACCAGGATAACCTCTTTCATGGAAATTGGTTCATGCATATCTCATAGTATACTTCTCAACTAGAAAAAATCAAACTAGAATGGTTATATGGATATGGGGTCAGAAGCGGTTATTCGGCGCTAACTAGTAAACCGACCGGTTCAACTGGTCTAACCGTGCAAGTCTTGGGCAGCAAAAAAAGTGTTAATATATATATATATATATATAAAGCATAATTAAACAAAGCACATACAAATGAAGTTGAAAATTAATGAAAAAATAATAATTTTTAAAAAATCGATTTGTGTATAGGGGTAAATTTTCCAAAAAAAAAAAGAAAGGAAAATGTAAAAAAAAATACTAATGGCCAAAATAATTTTCAATCTTTGTCAGAATGATAAAAACATTAAAAAATACATTACAAATAAAATCCTTTATTTTTTGAGATTTTATATAATTTTTTAATTTTTTTTTTAAAATACATGACTTGTTCACCAAAACCAATCAGAACTTGGCACTTATAATTTGAACCGCCAAATTTTCTCTACACTATTCTACTTTCATAGTAAGGCCTCGTTTGAAAATCCCAAAAATGGTCATAATCATCGCCGATGATATTCGAGTTTTTAATCGAATAGTGGTGACCTACGTTCTTTTTCCTTCTGTCAATATTATGCAGATCCTCACTTTCGGGGACATTTTGTCAATAAATATAAGGATCCATTCCTAAAGTCGGCCATGAAGGCCATCAAAGCAGGATGTAATCTGCCATGACATGGAGTTGGTATTGGGCGGGCAGCCCAACCCTGAAAATCTATGGTCTGGGCAACAAAATGTGGCCCGATGGTAGGCCTAAGGTCACAATTGGGCCCGCCTAACGATTGAGACAGAGCCCCTTCGTCCATGTTGGGGTTGGGCCAAGCTCCAGCCATCCTATAGGGAACCGGGCTCGGCTGACTAGGCATGGCCCGTTGGCATCCCTATAGAAGATCTCTAAGAAATTCTGACAACCCAATCAACCAAATTGGCGACAAAAAAAAGTAGGCTAAAAGATTATATCCTCACTATTATGCATTCACTCCCAAGGGAAACTCCCAGCTCAAAGTACTTTTAAGACTTCCAAGTTTTGCAATGTAGCCTTCTAATCTTAGTGACCGACCTCACAAAAAAATTTCATATACATTTAAAAAAAAAGAAAAAAAGAAAAAACGAAAAATAGAAAAAAAGAAAAAAGAAAAAAAAAAACCTAAGTGCTTATAAACATAAATTCCAATTATCGTTTTTTTAAAAGAAAAACTTTACATGTGACCTCATCCACATATAAAATATACATGACCCCTTAGTTTTAAATGGTTGGGATTGGTTAAGTTATAATGTCACAAGTTAGCTCTTGAGTGTTATATATTGATTTGAAGGCTCAGAATATTTTTATTTTTAATTTATTCTATAAATTAGGTAGCAGTGAATTTTGAAGCATGCATACATTTCACATAGGCGTACATGATAAAAATAATAAAGAATAATTCATGTGTTAAAAAGTGCAAGAATACCTTAAAACTTTCAAAGGTACTTTTGCTATTTATTTTAATGAGAAATACATTTTTTTTTTTTACTGGATGCGGCTCAAGAAAAAGACAACACATCCCAAAATTCACTAAAAAAGCTTTTAAAAAAAACTTGAAAATCAAACAATATTTAACGTAATGTTGTGACATGAACAATCCTAACTATCTATTCAAATCGGAACAATTTTCCCTATACTACACCACCTATCAAACAATAATATTACAAGATGACCATTTTACCCCTTGCAAAATGTTAAATAATTGCATCCTATGCAGCCCTTATTTGGTGGGGCACACCTATCCTACAGCCTAAACCATGAGTTTGGATCCCACTTCCTTTTGGGTGGAAGCATACTGTCGCTGTAGATTGCACAAATTTCAAATGAGTAGGGGCATTTAAGTCAAATCTTCTAAAAAGTAAAAGCACCCGTGGAACTAAGGGCACGTGACCTTGAATTTTAAGGCATTTTGGAAAAGACTCAGGTCCATTAATAAAGGGCAGGTATTTGGCTGACATTGGTTTGAGGACCACCAAATGAATTCCTGAAAATTTAAAATTTGAAATCGTGACTCATTTCAAAATTAAGGTTGGTTTTGAAATTGTGTTTGAATTTTAGGGACTGAATCGGCATAGTTTTGTTTGTACTTTTCAACATGTTAAGGGAGCGGAGCTGCCTTAAAGTGCCAAAAACATGACTGAAATGCCCTTAGAGAATACCCCAAAATAGTTTGTATAAGGCTGTAGGCCTAACCAATCAAAGTAAGACACACCTTCAAATAGTGCTAAAATATTTTGTTTTAGTATTTAATTATAAAATTTTAAAAATAAAAAATAATATAGATCAAGTAGATCTATGAACACCTAAAGTTTTTTGAAAATTGATAATCTATATAATAAATAATACATTATTTTCGAAACTTGAAATCTATTTTTTTTCATGAACTTACATATTTAGATTAAGTTGATAGAATTGAGAATATTTTAATTTTACACATGAAAGTGAATTTTTTAAGCTCCTGTTTTTTTAAAACATTTAAGTTTCTACTACCGTTATTGGATGTTCAATCATGTTTATAATCATCATCATCATCATCATCATAAATTTTTCTCAATTAATTGAGATCGGCTAATCATGTTTCCAAGTAAAAATCCCATTATTTAATGAATCAATGAAGAAACAAATCAGAAAATGTTAATCAAAACGAACCCAATGGCTTTATCCATCCTATACTGTTTGTATACAATGAAGATTCCCTATTATCTAAAAAGCCATTGTATACTGCTGAAATTTAATATTTTAAATTCCCAATATTTTTATTACCCTAGTTGCTCTTTGTTCAAAACCCTATGAAAAATATCACTATAAATACTAATAGGATTGAGTATACTTACTTGGTAGGTACCTATGAAAAATTTTATTGCAAATTTAATTTTAAAATTCGGCCTTTTTTTTTTTTAAGTTTAGAACTTTCACAATTCCTTCAGAAGCATAATTTACTTCTACTCCCTCGATCAGAAGCCCTACTTGAGTGGATTTTTTTCAATCTGAAATTTTGGAAACCACTTAAGAACCATCGATGATCATTTTCAAAAAGAAAATTTTGAGCTTTGAGTGTTTTAGCACTTAGATCTTAGTTTTTTAGCACTTAGATCTCACGGTATAAAAATTGGATGGCCCATTCAATCTCAAGGCATTATAGTTTCCAAGAGCATGGAGGGGTTAATTAGGATTTTCTTTGTTGAGTTGAAAAGGTTTGAAATCCAAAAATTACTTTTAGGTGGGGTTTTACCGAGGGAGTAAATTGATAATATACTCCAGCGCGAGTATACTATCTTTTGGCTCGGCTCTTATGTGATTTATATGGTGATTTGTTGATGGTGTGTTTGGTGTGGAAAAGCAAGGTTCCCTTGATTGTATTTTCTCTTGTAACTTTCTCTCTCTAACTGCCCCTTTGATTTTGTGACAGGTCTGAGAGACTTTAGAGGAAGACCAGCTATACCCCATTTAATAAACGGTAGATCTAATACGCTGACACACTCTCCGAACCGATTCACAATCTGCAGTACTGTAATCCTGTATCCAACACTTTTTCAAGTTTAAAATCCATAAAAACACGCACTCAAGCTCCAATTTCATTGTACCCTCTCTTTCTCTCTCTAGAGAAGAAGAATCCACAACTGGAGGGAAGCATCCTCTGTTCCTCTCTTCCCACTATAAAGAGATTACACAACAAAAGAGCGGCACCCATCTGTGTGTCTGTACAGGAGGGGACCTTACAACAATAGAGTAGCACCCATGGTGGCAGAAACTTGGATCTACAAGATGGGAAACCAGGTAACCCACAACCTCAAAACTGCTCTTTCTCTAGACCCATCAAAGAAAAACTGCTCTAAACATGAAAAACAAATTATTGGTATCTTATCTTTTGAAGTTTCTACCATTATGTCCAAACTAGTCCACCTCTACAAGTCTCTAAGGGACCAAGAGATTCTTAGAGTGAGAAACCAGGTCTTTAAATCCCTAGGTGTCACACTTCTTGTCTCTGAGGATGAATCTTTTCTCCTTGATCTCATGTGTGGTGAAAAACTAGAAGAATTGAACCACATAGCTGACTCTATCTCAAGATTAGGAAAGAAGTGCTCTGAACCAGCTCTTGTTGGTTTTGAACATGTGTACTCTGACTTGCTATCAAATAAAATTGATGTTAAGGACTTGAGTTTTCTGGTTAAGGACATGGATTCCATGGTTAAAAAGATGGAGAGGTATATAGCTAGTACATGCAACTTGTTTAGTGAGCTTGAGGTTTTGAATGAGCTAGAGCAGGGTGTCAAAAAATTGCAACAACAACAGGGGGGTGGGTTTTTTAGAGAGAATCAGCGGGCAATTGAACAGAAGTTAATGTGGCAAAGACAGGGTGTTAGGCATCTTAGAGATGTGTCGCTTTGGAATGAAACTTATGATAAAATAGTCGGGATGTTAGCGAGGATTGTGTGCACAATTTATGCCAAAATCCGTGCAGTTTTTGGGTTTAATTATACAGGTTTTCTCTGTGGAAATGAGAATAGCACTATCGGGTCTGTTCATTCTTATGGAAGTTTGGCATCTGGGTTTTTGTTGGGAAATTTAGATAGAAGAAGTGGCAATATTGGTGTCGGTAGTGGTGATAGATCGGGCCCTCTAATTCAAGGGAATGGACTGCATAAGAGAGAGAGTTTTGATGGTAATAGGAGGTCAACATCGATACTGCAGGAAAGCGTTGCGAGAGAAGAATTTCACGACAGTCAGGATGAGGATTTCAGTTTCCCTTGTGGGTCTAGTCCAGGAAGGCTTTTCATGGAGTGCCTCAGTCTCAGTACTAGTGGTTCATCATCATCCAAGATTGATACTTTGCAGATAGAACTTCAGAATAGAGCTGCGAATTCGGGGTTAGCTAACTGTCATACTAATCGAGCACCTAGTCATTTTGGGGCCTATAATTTTCCAAAATTAGAGAACTCTATGGATTTTTGTTTCAGTGGTGAGCTTAACCTGAATCACATTAGTTTCGGAAAGTCTGGCCTTTTAAAGGGTGTGAAGTTGGGTCCGAAAAGTAGGTTTCTGCAGGCCCCTTCCTCTACAATTGGGGGCTCAGCTCTTGCTCTACACTATGCAAATGTTATAATTGTCATAGAGAAGCTCCTTAAATATCCACATTTAGTGGGAGAAGAGGCGAGAAGTGATTTATATCAGATGCTTCCCACTAGTTTAAGAGCTTGTTTAAGAAAGAAGCTAAAGTCTTATTCTAAAAATTTGGTCTCTGCTATATATGATGCACCATTAGCCCATGATTGGAGAGAAGCCATGGACAAAATTCTTAAGTGGTTGTCTCCTTTGGCCCATGACATGATAAGGTGGCAAACTGAGCGCAATTTCGAGCAACAACAATTCGTTTCTCGAACCAATGTTCTCTTACTCCAAACCTTATATTTTGCAGATAGAGAGAAGACAGAGGAAGCCGTTTCGGAGCTCTTGGTTGGTTTGAACTATATATGCAGGTACGAGCATCAACAAAATGCATTGATGGATTGCACGAGCAGTCAGGATTTCGACGAACTCATGGAGTGGCAGCTTCAATACTGAAAATTGTAGAGTTTTTCATGCTTGATTCTTTTGGGTTTTGTGGAGTTTATTGATTTGCTCGGTTACACTTAACTCCCCTTTATGCAGAGATCAAAGAGAATTAACACCTTTTGTATATTAGACACCTAGCATGCCAAAATATCCCCTTGATATTGTGGCATAGAGAGAGAGAATCTATTACTTCCCCATCTTGTGCATCTGCCAAATTCCAGTGTATATAATTTTTTGTGTAAAATTCTTGGATATATGAAAATGAGGTTGAAATTCAATTTGTTTTCTTGCTTTTTCGTGCTGTATGTGTATAGTCTTGGCTGTTAGTGTTGTTGGGATATACTCTCCTTCCTGTTTAGGTGATCTGCTTCTTGCTAAATATGTAAAGAACCATAATTATTGTATTGAAACAAAATACTTTAAGCATTGATGCGTAAACAACTATATAGTGATGGGAATTTGATTGATTACATGCAACAAATGAGAAAAGAAAATTATAAAGTGCGAAGCTGATATGAAGCAGATTCGCCCTAACATCTGAAATTTCCATCAAGCAATTACAGTAGCATCATTACACATAGAGCATTTAAAAAAAAAATACATCATCATATGGGATGCTACTGATAATATGCTTATTGATTCAATGCCTTAAATTAAGTGAACCCTTAGTCTTGTTGTGCCTTAGCAGCATAAACATCCAACTTTGTCCTTTTTTTGGGAAGTTTCTGATTTGTTACCTTATAGTGCACCATTTTTCAGAATGTTTTAGTTTTTGATGGTTAGCAGAAGTTGTCATCACCCATCGTTTTTCAACCTTAACTTTTCATGAACTGTAATATCTGATGGTTTCTTCTAGATGAGTATTATTTCTCTATTTTAGAAATGTGCTTTTTACTCTCAGCATACTTGTCATTGAAAAGGATCATATTTAAGTTGATTGTGATAACTTTACAGTTTTCTTATTGGTTCCATCAAATGATTATTTTAAGTTATTGAATATATTATTCTTCTCTTCTGGGAACTTATTTCTTCACCAGACCACCAAGCAACCTGGTGGTAATAGTGGCATGATTATTGCATCTAATGTGGAGCAATAGCTTGAATAATTGGTTACAGTATCATGATTCAAGCAATTAGGGTTCAATATCCTTAGATTCAACTTTTGAGTCATAAAATTTCGAAGTAAATAGACACTACTGCTTTGTATGGGAATTGGAATTGGTAGAACTCATCTGATATTCAGTGTTTAGCTTATGATGATAAGTGATATGCCTCATTTGCTGAAATACGAATTATACGGTAAAAGTAATAAAATTCCTTAAATCTCAGTCACTGTGATTTTCTTGAGAAGTAATTTATCCCTCTCTTGCTTAGACATGGTGCAAACTTGAGACTTGGATTCAAGTCTTGCTCAACCCCCAGGTCAAGTTGATGATTGACTTGTATATGAATACTCCAGGTGTATCCAACATCTTTTCTTTTTGACAGATGGTTGGAGATCAATGTTACCTGGGAGGATGTCCCTGTCAGCCTATTACCAGTTGTTCTGCTACCATCCGTCAGTTGGGATATACGGTGGGTGTAGCCTTAGACCACCATTTACTGTTTGAGTATTGTGTATTTTACTTCAGTCAAGCTGCTCCAATCATATTCTTAAATTGGCTGGGTGGAGGGGTAAGATTAGCGACTAGGCAACTCATTTTGAGTCTAAATCTACTCTCCGAGTCATGCAAACAATGCTCATTTGCAGTTGGCCACTATGTCCTTTAGGCTGTAGTAAAAAAAGAAAAAAACGGAAGTGAAAATTACGAAATTGAAATTCCGCACTAGTGCTTAGAAGTTAATAACAGATATGACTTACTCTCTTTTAGGTAATTACTTACCTCTTTGATTGATACTTATGTTTCTTCAAGGTAGTCACCTGCCCTGCTTCAATCAATAGTCATATGTCTCTAATGTGTAGTACCTTCACATTTTGATGTAATCATTTTGATAGCTGGAAAGGTTGGTCTGGCAACCTCTTGTGTTGGTCTAAACTATACAACAGGCGCTTTAGTCATTTAGTTATTCTTCCTCTGGCCCATGCTTGTAATTTGTGATCATAGTGGGACTATATTTTGCCAAGCACAGTGAATCTAGACGTATAATTAGCCTAGAGGACTAGACTTGTGCAGGTTGGCAGGTTCTAAATGGCAAAAAACAAAAGAAAACTCATAGCAAGTTACGCATAGTTTCTACTACCCTCCCTGGGATGCATATTAAGCCGTAAAATACTATAAATGCTTCCACTCTTGCCTATCTTAGAGCCTATCTTTCAAAGACCAAATTGGTATCGCCATCCATCTTCTAAAGCCATCTTTACTAAGCAACATGGTCTCGTATCTTGTTTGCTTCATTCTGTGGAGAACACTTGAAAATCAAGTGAAATAGAGGATTGGGGGCACATGGGCAGCTCTTTCTTACCATACAATATGTAGGTTTATTAGAAGCAATAAAATAAAGAAACTAGGAGGAGCTGCAAGGTGTATAATGGTATAATACCAAAACAACACTGTAGCAGGTATGTAGACAATGCCTAGGAGATTATCATGGGATCATTGAATGTCACCACCCACATGCAAAGTTCATACAACAAAGCTTCTAGCCGAGATTAAAAAAGCCAGCATAAAAATAGTGTCAGCTAGGGCCCCATACCAATATATAATAGTGTTATCTGATGTTTCTTATTTGTACTCGAGAAAAAATATTTATTTTATAAGAAAATGATAGACTTGGCAATATTTGAAAATAATGGATACTGCGGGGCATATAAATGATACCACATGTGTTATATTTTCCAATTATTAAGCATTCATTATGCTATTAAAATATAAGGAATTTATATTATATATCGTGTAACATTCTTAGAAATAACTGATACTAAAGTCATTTTTTTCCATGTTTTGAAACCCGTTACACTGTTACATATCAGCTGATAAATTTCAAATAAATTGAGATATTTTAACTTTGTCACGTAGTTTTGACAGGATACCCATAACCATCAATGTCAATAGTGGCAGCTGATATATCTGCTATTATATTCAATATGATGATGGTTTTGCTTAAGATGTTTCGTCAAACTGCAAAAATGTTTGATCTAATCACATGGTAGGGGAGGCTGTCTCTCAACCAATCCATGTATTTGGAAATGAGAGAAGGAAAGGTCTGAAAATACATGGTCTGTATCCTTTTTGGCCTTTGGTAAGAGTAATCTCCTTTTCACTCCATATTTTTAACATTTAAAGTATGTAAAAGATTTTTGTTGCAGTGCACCACAATAAACGAAATCATAGCAGGCTAAAATCTCCTGAATGACCAAGTGTTTTCACTAGCATAATTTCTCTTCTCAACCCTCTCAAATGGCATGTCCTGTGATCCAAATCAAATCCGTTGCAAGTAGACAATCACACCGCTGATAAGAAAAATGAACATGAGCACCATAGTTAGTTCACCTGAAGAGACGGTCATGTGTACCGCTAAAGAGAGAGCAAACTAGTCATAGTTATAGCACCAAATGAGGTAGTTTCTTTCATAGTGACTTTTACATATGTCTGCTGCAGAAATAGTGACACGATCCTTGGTCGCAGGTAGGATTTGTGGCAGGTGAACCGAACACAGTTTTGTATTGGTTTGTTAGTTGATGTGGCAAGAATATTGGAAGATTGTTGAACAAAAGAAAACAACGATCTTTTAAGTTCTCTGGCATGTCAAAGTCTCAAAGATGTTATCTCAAGACAATATTTTTTCTTCTTGATATAAATCACTTTGCATATAGGATTTGACCAAATTTAAATCCGTGATATAAGGAAAACAGAAAAAAAAGAAAAAAGATTTGTCTTGCTTATTCAAATGTATAAGAATATAAAAAACTATAAAGCACCAAAGTTGCCTTCTTTTTAGAGAGAAAAAAAGAGTAAAAAATATGAAAATACTATTAGTTTTGAATGAGAGGTTTCAGTCATTTATATAAACAGAGATATGCCCTTTCATGATATGGAACATGTCTATTGCTTGAAGAGCCACATCTTCATAATTTTTGTTCACACTGGTTTCTCATCGGTTGATTTGGTTCATCTTTGAACTTCCAGGTTCAACAATGAATTGGAACATCACTTTGTGCTTTTATCTAGGTCCGACGCATGTCGTAACCCCCAAACCTCGTTCTCATGCATCCGCATGTCTGGGGAGTTACATGCTTCGCATGGGCCTTCTCTCTCACTAAAGCTAAGAGAGTGTCTATCTGTAAATGCTTTACTCTCTAGTCATTGCTCTTAGCATGGGGCTAAAACCCCACCTACTCTCTAGAGTAAGATAAAAAGGAAACAACTTTTGCAAAACTATGACATTTCAAACTCGGAAAAAGTTTATATAAGGTTGCTACCTTATATGTAGAAATAAAGTTGCAGTAATCTACACTATCTATTTTATTTAAATAGTATGGATTGGATATTATTTTAAAATATGTGCCATACATTGACTCTGCCTTAAAAGATGTGTTAAATTCATACTGTCTAAATAAAATGAACGATAGAGTATCGCAACCTTATTTCTGTATGGAAAAAGTTTATATAAGGATGCAACCTTATAATGTAGAACTACGGATGCAATTCAAAATCCATCGGAAAAGATAGTTTTAACGTCCTTTTGATTGATCATCTTGACATCGAGAGGTATGGCCATGAAAAATAAAAAGATTTTAAGTCTCAAACATAGTGCATTTTACAACATATTATGTACACCGTCCATTTTCAAGATTTTCATATGTTTATAGATCTATTTGATTTTAACCATTTTTGAAATTTAAAATTTTATAATTAGATATAAAAATAGATTTGAGATAATCCTAACAACATTTTACATCAAAATTATATGCCATGATAAAATTTGAAGGTGCACCTTACCTCTACAGCTAAAGATGCATCCAACTGCACCATTTTTGCATTAACTTTAAAATAATGTTAATGTAAGTATTTCTCTACAGAAGAATACTAACAACACTGAGCACATTTTTGCTTTCTCCATAAGATGCAAGGTTAAATTTTCTCACTTTGTATCCGTTTTCTTCAAGGTTTCCTTTCTAGAAATGATCTCTTGTATATTTTCCTATCTCTAAATCTCTAATAAGTATTTCTCTTTAGAAAGCCAATAGATACTACCTTAAAAAGGCTTTCCTAAATGACTACAGTGACTGGTAATTGCTCATATTCCTTTGCTTCCTAATCTTAAGTCTCTTCCT